AGAGGGCTTATCTGGAGGACTACTATGTATTTGGGAATCAACTGTGTTTAAATTGAAGGAGGTGATTGAGGGGCGTTCTTTTATGGGTGTGTTTGGGGTATGGGGAGAAGAGTAGATACCGGTGCATATGATTAACATTTACTCTCCATGTATTCTGGTGGGCAAAAGAGAGTTGTGGGAGGAGCTGGGTAATTTGATCAACAGAAGGAAGGGAAGATGGTGCTTAGGGGGCGATTTTAATGCTATTACAAGGGTAGAGGAGAGGGCGGGGTGTAAGGATCCAACCATAGAGATGAATGAATTTAACAGCTTTATTCATGATGCGAGGTTGATAGATTTACCATTGATAGGCAGAAAATATACTTGGTATAGCTCAAATGGTCAACATATGAGTAGAATTGACAGATTTCTAATTTCTGCTGATTGGTTTGAGAAGTGAAGTGATGTGAAACAGTGGGGCTTGGGCAGATCAGTGTCAGATCATTGTTCGCTGGTACTGAAGAATGAAAAAGTAGATTGGGGACCAAAGTCGTTTAAATTCTTTGATGCGTGGCTGGAGCGACTTGAATACAAGGAGCTAATAAGAAAGGCATGGAATTCTATAGTGGAAGAAGGGAGAAAGGGATTCAGACTAAAGGAGAAATTGAAAGGAACTAAAAAAGCCTTGAAGGAGTGGAGTGGCAACCACATGTCGAAATTAGATTGCAAGATAAAGGAAGCTGAAAAGATGATAGCTACTCTGGATGAGAAAGGACAAATTGTTTAGCTATCAGAGGAAGACACTAACAGGAGGAAAGGCTGCTTCCTAGATCTTTGGAAGAATTTGAGAATCAAGGAGAGTATGTGGCAGCAGAAATCAAGGAAGATGTGGCTAAGAGATGGGGATGCTAGCACAAAATTTTACCACAACTGTGTGAAGGGAAGATGGAGAAGAAATGAGATAAACAACATCCAGGTTAATGGGAAACAGCTTCGGGAAGTGGGTGAGTTAAAAGGAGTGGCAAAATATTTTCAAGATCTGTTCACAGAAAATAACTGGCTAAGACCAAAGCTGGATGGAATCAACTTCAAACAACTATCCCATGCAGACAATGAAACCCTTATGGCTGAGTTTTCAGAGGAAGAAGTTAAAAATGCAGTGTGGGATTGCGAGCCAACAAAATCCCTGGGGCCTGACGGGTTTAATTTCAAGTTTATAAAGGCTATGTGGGAGGACATAAAACAAGATATTATTGGCTATATTCAGGAATTTCATGAATGAGGCAAGATGGAAAAAGGAGCAAATGTATCTTTCATAGTCTTAATCCCGAAGGTTGAAAATCCCCAAAGAATTGAAGATTATAGGCCAATCTCGCTCATTGGAGTCATGTACAAGATTCTGGCAAAGTTGTTAGCTAACCGACTGAGGAAAGTACTGGATAAGATCATCGGGGAGCAACAGATGGCATTCATTAAGGGCAGAAAGTTGCTGCATGAGGTGATCATTGCTAATGAGGTCATTGAGGAGGCAAAGAGAAAGAAGAAAAACAGCTTTCTACTCAAGGTGGACTTTGAAAAAGCTTATGACAAGGTATGCTGGGACTTTATTGATTACATGTTGTTGAGAATGGGGTTTACTGCCACATGGAGAAAATGGATGATGGAATGTCTACAATCGAGCACAGTATCAATCCTCATTAATGGAAGCCCAACAAGGTAGTTCTCGGTTAGTAAAGGGATAAGGCAAGGTGACCCACTATCTCCCTTCTTGTTTTTAATAGTAGCGGAGGGTTTGAATGGCTTAATGTTATCTGCGGCGGATAAGAATCTTTACAAGGGGGTGAGGATTGGAAACGAAGATGTGATGGTTTCCCACCTCCAGTTTGCAGATGACACAATATTTTTTAGCGAAGCATCAAAGGAAAACATTCAAGTTATCAAATGCGTTCTGAGGACCTTTGAGCTAGCATCGGGACTTAAGATTAACTATGGTAAAAGTCAGCTAATGGGTATCGGGGTTGAGGAAGATTGGAAAAAGAGAATGGCATACACTCTTCACTACAAAGAAGGTGAGCTTCCTATCAAGTATCTGGGAATTCAAATTGGAGGGAATCATAGAAAGCTAACAATGTGGCAGCCACTGGTGAACTCTTTCAAAAAGAAGCTAGCAAGTTGGAAGGGCTGGGATTTATCAATGGGTGGTCGAATCGCGCTCATAAACTTTGTGTTGTCCAGCTTAACAGTGTTCCAGATGTCAGCCTACCTACTTCCCAAAGGTATTCTCTACTCTTTAGATAAAATTCGTAGAAATTTTTTATGGGGAGGGGAGGGAGAGGGAAAGAAAATCAATTGGGTTAGTTGGGAGAGGGTATGTAGATCGAAGGAGGAGGGAGGATTAGGAGTAAAAGACTTGAAGAAGTTTAATGTGGCATTGATGGGAAAATGGTTGAGTCGGTTAGCAAATATGGAAGAAGGCTTGTGGAAGAGTGTCATTGTAGGAAAATATGGAGCAAAAGGGGGACACTGGCTGGATTGGGTGCGTGATGGCAAGAACATAGGATCGATATGGTGGAGAGACGTCCAAAGACTCAAAGCCGGGGAGGGAGTGAATGTGAGATGGTTGTGGGAGGATTTTAGGTTGAAGATAGAGGAAGGGAGAGGTGTTAAATTTTGGTGGGATACATGGTGTGGGGAGGAGTGT